AAGTCTTTTGCTAGTTTTTAATTTTTAAATACGTGTAGGATAGGTTTGGGTTGTCTTTCTTTACAACTTATAGGAATAAGAGTAGCATATTATTGGATAAGAATATAAAAAACAATTAAAATATATTTACTTCTTTATTCCATAATAATAAACCTAGTTTTACTTTCAGAGCTCATACAAATTAAGAAAATATAATTAATAGGATTAATTCATAATTTTTACTTTAATTTTAATTTTCCGGTATATTCTATATGAAATATTAATGATCAATATTTCAAAGTTATGAAATTGAGTAATATAAATGACAATAATACGTATTTTGTTTGTTCCAAGTGACTAACAAAAGAGAATATATTACTCCCTCCGTGCCATTTTAATAACAGCATTATTTTTTCACAAGGATTAAAAAAATAATTAAAATTCAGTGATTTTCTATAAAAAATGGTATAATTTCTAAATTTCCCTTCTTAAATGTAAATATAAAAATAAATTACACCTAATATATAGGTAAGGTTGGAAAAACATAATTAATATAGTTTAAAATCCTAAATGAGCATTTAAAGTAGTAAAGAGAGAGTAATATATATTGACAAAGATACATCTCAAGTAGAGGTAAAATAGGAAACTATAAAGATTAACCTCTTTTACAAAAAATAAAACTATAATTTGAGACAAGTGAAAAAAAAAATTGAGCCTTTATAGATTACATGGAGTAATTAATACTTCTTAGGAATACTCAGACATCAGTCAGTCAGTATTCGACTATAATATTTATACATTATTTTTAAAATATATGTTTTCTTTACCATTCGATAGTTCGATATTATGTACAATGAATTTTTATTTTTACACTCTCTACACTATCGACAACAGTTATAACAATTTAAAACTCATCAAAGACAGTACAATCCATAACGAAGAAAGCTCATTGAAGAAAATAAAAACCCACTACAAGGGGAAGGAAATAACATTGCATTGCCAAGTTGAACTGAGACATCTTGGCTCGTAGGGCATCACTCCAACCACTAGGCTGGGGATTATTTGCAAATTATTTTTAAAATAATAATTTCCTTTTAATTGGTATTTATTATATCGTCATTTTGGGATAATCGCCCTCTATATAGGTCTAAAGTATTTCAGTTGACTTTTCAGATATCAGTTATGATCGTAAAAAAATTTGTGATATAAAATGCGAAGTTGCTGCAACAAATACACGGTTTTGATAAACAATAAAGATTAGAATCTTTCTCCAAAAATATTAAAAAAGAAAATCTGTAATAATGATGTGAATGGATCAGCAAGTTTGTACTTTGCTGTCACTGTGAAATTGGAAGTGCGGTGGGTCGTTGGGAAAGAGGCAATCAAACTATCAAAGCATCCACTCCAATGAAAATGGAGAAAGTGGGGGACTACACAACAGACACCAATCAATAACATTCACATTACACTACCATTCTCATTTGACTTCCAAATATATCTATTCTAATAAATCTAAATTTTCTTGGCGAAAAATGTGGATAATGTGATGTTTTTTTAATTACCAGGAGAAAAAGATTTCAATCTAAAACTATTGTCGAATAAACATATATTTACTTGAAACTATTGGAGAGTAAAAATGCATTTACTACTAGACTATTTTGCGTGCGAAAATGTGATGTTTCAACTAAGAGTGAAAATGTGTTTAATTATAATAACAGTCCAAAAAAGATAACTATATCATATTTTAGCTGCCGATAATTTTATAGATTGTGGCTCAGTTGGCAACGCAGGATGTGGAAAGAGCTCTCAAATTTAGTTTTACTAAATACACCTGCATAGGATCTAGATACCAGTCATTTACACAAAAAAATGAAAATTATAGTACTTAGAAAATAAAGATAAACTTCGAAACAAATCGAAAATGGTTAAAAAGGTTCATACTGAAATATATGAATGTGCCAGAATCTGTTATTGCATAGCACAATGGATATAATTTTAGTTGAATATACTTTATGTAAATGAAAAACTACAGACTTGAGAGAAAGGAAGGGAAGGGAAGGGAAGGGTAGGCCTTGTCTATATATGCAAAAATGCTAAAGTAGGGGGAAAATAACTAAAAAGAAGTAATAACAATAAGTCAATAACTATTTAGTTGACTAACGGTAGAATAACGCAATAATGAAATTGATTTTTAAAACATAAAAGCCATGACTTGTCACTATACTGTATCAATAAATAATAATTAATCATTTTTGTTTTCACACAAGTAACGAGATAGTGCCTAGCTATGATTGCAAATCTTGTCCAAGTCACTAGGTCAGGAGTGTTCATTTCACATTGGAAAGGTTGTTCATTTCACATTGGAAAGGTCGTCAGAGTTATAAAAGGTTGTTCATTTCAAATTGGAAGGTCGTCGGAGTTATAAAAGGTTGTTCATTTCTTAATTTATTTAATAGAATTTAAATTTAAATATATAATTAATATAATCAATTAAAATTAAATTATCTTATTTTATCAATAAAATTAAAATTTTTAAAAATATTATATGTTTACCATATTTAATATATACTTTATACAGTATATAACATTATTTATTAGTTTATCTAACATAATTTAGATTTAAATAAGAAATTAATATGACCAACTAAAATTAAATTATCTTTATTTTTCAATCAATAAAACTAAAATCTTTATTGATATTTTTGTTAATCCATAAATTTACTATGAACATTTTTTTGGCAATCCAAATGATCTCTCACCCATTTCTACTTTTATATATACTAGTCTTTTTTATGATGTGTCTTGCACGTTAACTATACTCATTATTTATTTGTACTCTTTTAATTTTCTTTTATCTATATAATATTAAAGTATAAGTTAGATTAAATAAATATAATTGTTTAATTTATATTGGACTTTTGTCGTACAAGCGATTTGTAATGTTACTTCTTATATATTTAATTTTATTTTGTTTATAATGAAGTGGTCTCAAAATAAAATTCAATCAAATCCCTAGACCTAAGCATTCAGTCCCTAAATTATAAATGTAGATTCTTAAAATCTAAATAAGTGTCCAAAAAGAAAATTACTTTGGCTATAATGATATTATTACTTGCTTAGTGAATTAAAGGAAGAAATATATGCACGTATACAAATTTTTTAAATCCTATAAAGTCACCTAAAATAGAAATATATAGTTCTCATTTTTTATTAAAAAAATTAAAAATGGTTAATTATCAAGAGTAGAGATGGAAGCGGTGCGGGTATTTTTGGGTACCCGTTCTCTCCGATCTGTTTAAATAGGACATAGGTAGTTATAAATAGGTTCGGGATGAATTATCAATATAAGCAAAAATATGCTCTCTATTCACAACTTTAAGCAAATCCTTTTCGCAAAATCTTGAAGGATGAAGTTCTCCATTCAGTCCCATAATTTTACATTAAAGCAATGTCTCTAAATATTTCTTGTCAATATTCTATTCATTATTAGACGATAATTAGATATGTATTCTTTTCTTTGGATAGTTAAAATTCATGGGTATTATCCGTATAAAAGTATTTTGAACGGATTTTAATACAGTTAATTAAATAGATATTTAAATGGGTTTTAAGCGGATACAGGTAGCTTAAATTTCACTGGTTCCATCCCTAATCAAGAGCCTTACTAAATTATAGTAGTTATTACTAAATTAAAACGACAATAGTTATATATTTGAATAGTTTAAAGTTTGTGGATAACCTATAGTTACAGAATATTGTCTCTTCCAAACCAACTTCAAGAGAATCCACTAGTTATGGAGGTGATTGATCACCAAAATGGGTGCTGGAATAGGGCTTTAATCTAAATGATCAACTGGTCTCTTTGGCGAAACAGGAATATGATCATATTCCAAAATAAGCAGATGTTCGTTTTGCAGGTTTCTCAGTTGGCTGTGTCCCTCCTTCTTCAGTTCCAGCAGTGTAGAATTATGACAGAGTAGGTTTCTCCGCCTCCTGTAGCCACTGCTTCTTTGATTCCTGCGAAGCCATCATGGACAGCACCTCCACCGGGTATTGTAAAAGTGAATTGTGATGCTGCTCTGAGTAATACTGGGCACTGCAGTTCTGGTATGGTAGCGCGAGATAGTATGGGGGAGGTTTTAGCTGCAGGTTTCAGACGTTCAGAATATGTTCTATCGCCGGCAAAAGCTGAGTCGGAGGCGATAATTTTTACTTTGCAGCGGGCAATGGACTTGGGCTTCTCAAATGCTATCTTTGAGTCCCACTGTCAGATAGTTGTTAATATGATCAGCCAAATGGACTTCCCACTGTCTGAATTAGGCACTAGGTTATGCAAATACAAGCTCTTTTAGATGTTTTTATTTCATCACAGATTACATTTGTGAGTGGAAGTTGTAATAAGGTAGCCCACCACTTAGCAAAATCTGCTCTCTTTGCTCTTTATGAGGAGCAAGTCTGGTTTGAGGAGATCCATCCTCTTTTTCATGGTTATGTAATGGCTGATTTGGCCACTGTAAGTTCTTAATGAAATTATTTTCCATTCTTAAAAAAAAAAGTACGTTAAATATGTTTAGGACGACCATTTTTTTTTTTTTAAATGTTCAGGATGGTTACTGTAGTAAAATTCTAAAAAAAATTTGTGTATGGTTACCGAAATTAGTTATGGAAGTTTGAAACAAGTACAAATGAGCGCAAAGAGATAAAATCAATGGACTCAAAAAAGTTACTATTTACTCAAAATTTAAAGTGCATGAATTATTGAACTTTGAAATATTATAAGCGTAAGTAATTATAAAAAAAAAACGAAAATATTGCAAAAGAAAATAATTTATTTGGAAAGAAAAAAAAAAAGTGTACTACTATTTAAAAAAATATTAACAAATAACGTTTATTTTCCGTTTGCATGTCGTTCAAAATAACGGGAAACGGAGTTAGCTTTCTGTAACCAAATTTCCTCTCCGTAACCAAATTTCCTCTCTCTCTCTCTCTCTGTCTCTGTCAAAACTCAGGAGAGAAAACAAAACAAAAAAACGAAATAAAAAAAACCAAAAAGAAAGTCTCTTTTGACCACCACGACCACCTCCACCACCCTCTCCATCCCCTCCCTTTCTTCTCGTCTTCCTCCTATCTTCTTCTTCGTTTCGCCCCCCAAAAACCCCATCATCCTCCTTATCTTTATAAGTTTGATTTTGGTATTGACCTATATATTTACAAAAATTATTGGCCATTTTTGTTTTTGACATTTTTGATTGTAATGAAGGTTTACCAATAATTGTTTCATCAATTCATTCAATGGGGGCCTGCTTCTCTACCATCAAAGTCAATGGTTCTAATAGCAATAACACCGGCATTACGGCCATCATTGGCCACCACCACTTTCACCGTAAAGAAAGCTCCACGTCCACTACCACTACCGTATCCCAGCCACCGTCAACGACAGCGAAAAAACAATCATCATCAGATAATAATAACAATAATAATGAGACTCGTAAGAGTAAACAACAATCACAGCAGCAGCAAAAGGTGAAAGAGAAGCAAACTTCTAGGCGACAAAGTGGGGTGATCCCATGTGGGAAGCGCACGGATTTTGGGTACGCTAAGGATTTTGATAAGCGATATACGATCGGTAAATTGTTGGGTCATGGTCAATTTGGGTATACCTATGTTGCCACTGATAAGGGCAATGGAGATTGTGTCGCGGTAAAGAAGATTGAGAAAAATAAGGTATTTTTTTTTTTCATTTATAAATATAAAGAATTTTGGCGAATTGAGTTGATTTTTTTTTTCTCAATGCTTTTCTTTTTTGTGTGTTTCATAGCCTAAATTGGGTATTTGCGAATCTGGGTTGTTGGGGTCTTTTCCAGATGCATTTTAATTTTCTCTTTTGGGTAAATGACTTGGGTTTCAATTATCTAGTTAATGAGGTATAAGAGAAATCTAATATTTTGTAATTACTATTATTCATGGTGGTTTGGCTACTGAAGATTCTGATTTGGCTTCGAATAATGGACATTGAGCAGAAGATCCTTGGATTTCTTTTGCTTTTCTTATATATGGATTCCCATTTACTCAATTTGCAATTATAGTAATGAACTCTATTTGCTTGAACATCAAGCTTGTACTAAGTTGCTTTTACTGTTTTCTTTTCTGCTGGGGGATTGATGTGTCTCCTTTTGGGTGTCCATCCCCATTTTTGTTCCCAAATCCGATGTTTTAGAAATTCTTCCATCTATGAGATTTCAGACATGATTTTCTTTGAGTTTACCTGTATCTTACTATGTCTGATTAACTGGGATTTGTAATTAATAATTATCAACGATCTTATCTCGTTTCAGTTAATATTATTTAATGATCATTCTGAATTTAGTTGGGGAATCAACAGCATGTTTTGCAGCGTCATAGCTTTGGTTTTGTTGGTAGCATCAATATTAATCCATGGGAATTATTGCATAGCAATAGTAAATGTTTACTATTTAGTTAAAGTTTGGTGTCTTCCCTTTTCATCTCGTCTTGGCAGACTGTTGCCTGTAATTTTAAGAGTTCTCCTTTTTATGCCTTTTCTAATGATTCTACACTATAATCACATTTCTTTAGAGTTGTAAGAATCTGTTCCTACAATGGGTAAAGTGTTTTGTAAGGCATGTATTACCCCTTCGCTCTGAAAAGGGAAGATGCTTTGTTTTGGACAGACCATCATAGTTGCAGAGGAATGTCCTGGCTCTTATATATCTGTTCTTTAGTAAAATTGTCTTCTCGTTCTTGTACAGTGGAAAATTTCTCTCATGTTCTTCAGTTAGGCAATATGCAGTACTCTTTAGTTATTTCTGATTGTAGTAGAGAGACTAGATTGCTTAGCTTGTGGCCATTGAAAGCTTGAAAGCTTAAGATGGAATAAGCGATGTGGCTTTTAGTTCTCTAAGAAAAATTTCCTTTAATTAGTTTCATCTGTTGATAGATCTTTTATGATATTTTAAAGCTAACTTTTGGCTTTGGTGCTAGATGATTCTTCCTATTGCTGTTGAGGATGTTAAGCGAGAGGTCAGGATATTGCGGGAACTTACTGGCCATGAGAATGTTGTGCAGTTTTATAACGCATTTGAGGATGATTCTTATGTATATATAGTGATGGAGTAAGTCTCATTGTTATAGTTCTGTTACCATGAATTGATTTTTACTGCAGTTTTTCCTACAAATGCATCTCTTCAAAAAATAATAATAAAAAAAATCTTTGCCCCAATTAATCTGCATTTATTAATTTCTTATTTATTGCACCATTCTCCTATATGGTTGACTTTTGCTTTCTTTTTACAATTCTTCACTAGGTTATGTGAGGGTGGTGAATTGCTAGACCGCATATTGGCAAAGTAAGAATCTTTTCTTCTGGAAATTTATTGTTTTTTGCTGCAGTTTATCTTTCTAACATATTGTTCTTGTTAAAATTTTTGTCAGAAAAGTGTTTTTGGTATATTATCATGTTGCAGTAGAATGATTTAATATGCCTCTGCTTGATTTTCTTCAATCAGGAAGGACAGTCGTTATTCGGAGAAAGATGCAGCAGTAGTTGTACGACAGATGCTCAAAGTTGCTGCTGAGTGTCATTTACATGGTTTGGTACACCGAGACATGAAACCAGAGGTATGATAAAGTCAATCAATGTGGATGCTCATAATATTGAGAGTGATGGATCTTGAGAATGATATGCTTATTTTACTTGCCTGTAGAATTTCCTTTTCAAATCAGCCAAGGTGGACTCACCTTTGAAGGCCACAGATTTTGGCTTGTCAGACTTCATAAAACCAGGTGAACAGTAGTTCTTCTTATGAAGATCTTACATGTGCTTATATGGGGGTGATGGGGGTAACAAACAACTTTACCTATGCTTGTACACGTAGGCACACACACACACAAACAGAGTAGATACTTCTCTTCTACACTAGAGGGACTTTAATACTCTTGCCAAGCTATGATTAGTGTTTCAGATCATTCTATTCAAGAACTGCCGAAGCCATATATCATACTATCCAATTGAATGCAGGAAAGAAGTTTCAAGATATTGTTGGCAGTGCCTATTATGTAGCCCCTGAAGTCCTAAAGCGAAGGTCTGGACCTGAATCAGATGTCTGGAGCATCGGTGTTATCACTTACATTTTGCTATGTGGAAGGCGCCCTTTTTGGGATAGGACTGAGGATGGTATATTTAAGGAGGTGTAGTTCAACCTTAATTTTGGACATTGGCTTTTTTTTTTCCCATTTTTTTTCCTTCACGTCTGTGATTGAAATGTGTTCTACAAAGGTTTTGGTAGCAAAAACAGATTTGCTTTATGTTTTTCTGGACGATGTTGCTTATAACCAACCTTTTTACAACATATATGCGATTTTCTGCTTGACTTACGGGTGCTGTAGAATGGTTTATGCTCCAGTTCTCTGTTTGTGCATTTGAAGCAAAAATGGACTGTCCTATATTCCTCCATTTATACAACCTGCATTCTGATTTGCTATACTTGCCCCCTTATGTGTTGTACTCAACTACATTTTAAATTCAGAAAAGGAACATTTGAATGTTCTATTGAAGTTTTATATAAACTCGATCAATTATAAGTTTTTATTTATATAAACTTGATCATTTGTGAGTTCTTATTTTGTATAAACGTGATCATTTATAAGTTCTTCTGATCATCTGGTTCCTATTTAATTGGATTGCATGGTATGATATGTATCTTTTCATCGTTAATATTTACTATTTTCAGAAACTGATGCCTAATGTCAAGCAGGTCTTGAGGAATAAACCTGACTTTCGCCGTAAACCATGGCCAACCATAAGCAATAGTGCCAAAGATTTTGTGAAGAAGTTACTGGTGAAGGATCCTCGTGTTAGACTTACTGCTGCTCAGGCCCTATGTATGTGTCTGACTTGTCTCTTAGGAAAGAAATAAATGTTGATAAATTATGGTGCAATACAGTTGAGGTATATACATGACCATTTGGATATTAAATGCTGTTCTATTTTGCAGCACATCCATGGGTTAGAGAAGGAGGAGATGCATCTGAAATACCTATTGACATATCTGTCCTGAGTAATATGCGACAATTTGTGAAGTACAGTCGTCTGAAACAGTTTGCTCTAAGGGTAAAACCAAGAACTTTTTGCTGGATTCTTCTAGGACAAAAGACAACTCTTCCTCTGTGTAGACCTTTTTTCCCCCACAAATAATTGACACGTTGCTTGCAGGCATTAGCTAGCACACTTGATGATGCAGAGCTGGCTGATCTTCGGGATCAATTTGATGCAATTGATGTAGATAAAAATGGTTCTATCAGTCTTGAAGAGATGAGACAGGTATATTTGTTTTCCTGTTAATCCAGTAGTATCTATTTCTGAATGAACTATATTCCCATGTACATAGTTTCGTAATTTTATATTAACAAGGATCGTTTGGTTTTGTAATTTTATATTAACAAGGATCGTTTTAATGCAGGCCCTTGCTAAAGATCTGCCCTGGAAGATGAAAGATTCTCGTGTCCTTGAGATTCTTCAAGCAGTAAGCATGATTTATTATGTATTGTCTAAGAATATTTTTCTTATGGAGAAAGGAGGAAAAATGAGCCTTCAACTTTTATCCTTCTTATATCCCCTGGATAATGAATCATGTAACGTTCGTTGGTCTTGTTAATAGTGGCAATTTTTTCTTTCTGGGAACAAGAAAAATGGTCTCTAACAGTGTATCAATGCCAAGGGGTTTGGCCACCTCAGTGGTATTCTAGAACATTTGCTGATATACCTTTTTCTTTTCCTGGGATCAGTTGCTTTAGTGATTACCTCCGAAGGGTTATTCTCTATCTGTGTTCTCAACAATATGACATTTCCTTAGCCTTCTTTCACATTGCCTGTGAAACTGGGACCTAACAGCTCGTTTACCTTTTCTGATGCAGATCGACAGTAACACGGATGGACTTGTTGATTTCTCCGAGTTTGTTGCGGCTGCTTTACATGTGCATCAGCTAGAGGAACACAATTCTGAGAAGTGGCAGTTGCGATCACAGGCTGCTTTTCAGAAATTTGATCTTGATAAAGATGGTTATATAACACCAGAGGAACTAAGAATGGTCAGTAAATCTTACATCAAATATCCATCAGTATAATTACTGCACCAGTGTTTTTCAGTTCAATCAATTGCTTTTGGTTGACAGAAAACATATGTTAGATGGCTCTTTCCAGGTTCAATGATCAATATTTGTTTTGAACTAATTTGTGGCTTTAAATGAAGAGCGAGCTTAATGCCTAGTTTATGGGACTTTCCGTCAGCTTTATCTAATTAATCAAATTTCTAGGGTTGGAAAGAATAGATGCATTTGGTTTTGGTATTCAGAATCTCATAGGTGTAACTATTGAATAATCCTGCCTTCATCTTTTGTTTGTTGCCATCATACTTTTTACCATGCACTTCATATCCTTGTGCAAGGCTAGGTTACCGTGGGTAGCGGAAACAATATCCTTTTATTTTTATGACCTTTGTAGCTAAAAATACTTGCTTCAATACTGATTATGCTTTATTGTTGCTTTGTAGCACACGGGCTTAAAAGGTTCCATTGACCCACTTCTTGAAGAGGCTGATATTGATAAAGATGGTAAGATAAGCCTTCCAGAATTTCGTAGGCTTCTCAGAACTGCAAGTATTAGTTCACGAAATGCACCAAGCCCATCTGTTCAACGAACTTCACGAAAGGTATAGAGCAAAAATGGAGTTTTGAAGATCGAGACAAGAGAGAGAGTTCCAGAAACTTCAAGATTACATGCAAACGTGGTACTTCTCTCCATCACTCTACCATTTACCTCTTTTCGGAACTAGAAAACGTTTTCAACGATAGAAATTATGTTAAAGAGGATGTATCATATTAAGTGGAGAGGGGTTGGTTCTCTATGGAGGATGGCTCTTAGTGTGGTGGTCATACTATTGTACATTCTTTACGACGCGTTGGGGACTTTCTTCGTCTAGCCCCTTCGAATTGTAATACTTGACGACAAATAAAGTACGAAAGAGTAGTCTGTTGTTGAGAAATCAGTTTGTGTGCATTGTGTGTTCTTGGAAATCATAAGTTTGTACTTATTTGTTTCGTATATGCATGGTGGTTTAAGTACAAAAGCTGATTAAGCTCCCTCTTAGCATTCCTGATAGGATTTGCTGCTTAATGCAATTTTTAAACTTGAAACATAAGGCAGGTTTTAGTGATCTTAGACAGTAGTTTAAGATGTCATTTCAATTTAAAGGTAGCAAAACGTGGGATTTGCTTCAAAACTTGTTAAATAAATTTGAGAGCGCAGGAATTTATTATAGACATGCGTGCTAACAAAAGCCAAAAAAAAAAAAAAAAAAAAAAAAAAAAAAGGAAATTTATTATAGACATGCGTGCTACAAAACCAAAAAAAAAAAAAAAAAAAAAAAAAAAAAAAACACCGGCATTAACTTTGAAAACTATTTATTTTAAAATTTACTATTTAATTTGTTATTTGTTTTGTTTTCAAAATGGTTTAAAATATTATGTTGGCTAAAATTAAATCTTAAAAAATTTTTTAAAGTGTTAAATTAACATTTAATTAGAATGTTTGTTCTAAGAGTAAAACGATCTCGTTGATTCAGACAATTTTGAGGCAAAATTAATTACATTTAATAAAAAGTTTATTCTGCGCCAATTGCTTCTCTTTTAATGTATAGAATTATGTGTTTGCTGGCATGACTACGATCTACTTGGTGCTGACCTAGTCTCCATCATTTTAAAAGTGGAAGAAGTAAATAATCTACAACAACGTCGTTTGGGTTCGTTTACCATTTACTATTTTCACTAAGTGTCGTTTCCGTAAGTTGAGACTGGAAAGAAGCAAATATGATGGCTTTGTTTACATGGAATAGTTCCCATCTCCAGAGCGGAATTGTTTTTGTTCATTGCAGGTAAAACGACAATCGAAATTATTAAAGTTATAACTGATAAGGATTTAACAATTAAAACTTAGGGTTAATTTTTAAAGGAGTAGTGCAATTTCATACAGACTCGTTAAAAAAGAATTTTATCCCTTATAGCACTATTAGCAAGGGGACATCAAAACCTAGAAAGGATCACAGTTCGGCCACTCAGGCTCGTTATAGGTTTATAGCAGCAGAATGCAATCAGAAGATTTTGGGATGTTCCGATGCTGTTAGAGGAGCTATCCTGAACACCATGAGATGAAGAATATCCTGCTTGTGGAGCTTACCATTTCTACTATTTCTTTCTCTTCTCTGGCAACTGCTGTGCCTTTCCTTTCTCCACTTGACATGATCCTGCAAAATCTTTTTTCAATCAGATTTGTCTCTTTTATGCATTGAGCTTTCTGACAACAGAACTAAATAACCTTTACTTTAAGAAGTAACCTGTTGAGTTGATGACCTGGCATCTTTCAGTTCAAGTTCTGTTCCAACATTCATTTGAATCATCGCATCTTTTCTTGCAATTGCTTACTCCTTGGATGATCTAACCGACTTGCTCTTAGATTGCCTGTTTGCTTGAAATATGAGAAGTAAAGAAGCTATATTGGTCTGACGTTTTGGTTCATTGTAGGATTAACAGGAGTTGGGTAATGGAATAAGTTTGAACAGAGGAGTAGGAAATTAGCCGGCAGGATTTGATTTTCCAAAGAGGGGAAATGGATGCAGAACACCATGCATGGGAATGGGCTAGGTGGGGACAGGTACAGCGAACAGGAATAATGAATATGTTTGGATCCATTACAACAGAAGGATGCAGCCAACAGGCCATGGAAACATAACTCTCACTTTGTTGAATATCTTGAGCATTTAATTTTTCAATATCAGATTTTAAAGATGCCCTTTTCTTCTCTAACGCTTCATTCTTCTCCCTGCATTAGCTGCTTGGATCACAAAAACAACTATCAACAATAAGATAATGTGCAGAAAAGCACAGCCATTAGAACTGAATATCATTTAGACAATCACCTCGCCGAGATTCTTCCGATAGTTGCGGTATACTCATCTCAGCTCTGCTTAACTTCAGCAGTTAAGGATCCCTTGAGCATTTGAATTGTGTCAGTCAAAATGGTTGCCTTCGGTCATTCTTTGTCTATAATGGGTCCTAAATTTGAGTGTAAACAGATAATTAATAAAAGATCAGCGCAATTCGATTCACCGGAAATACAATAAAGAAGGAAAGTTGCACATTTATCGGCAAGGCAATTATACATACAGGGATTAAATTATAATACTAAATTCCATATTTCTCTGCCCAAATACTGAGTTCATCAACAGCTACAAGCTGCTATCCATCATTAAGCAAAATAATAAAGACCTCAAAACATGAAAGAACTAAACAGAAATCTCAAAGTCAATTTTGAAATAAATCATTATCTTTGTAATATATATGTTATTGTAATATATTTGGCTTCGGTGGAAGCTGCAAGCAATCCAACGGGAACAACAATGCATATTCTTGAGTAAGATGTGCATGCTAGAGCTGCATCGTAACTTTTTGCAGGAAAGGTCAATGGAAGAAAATAAGCTGCCTTTAAATTAACAGAAAGATATATATTTATCAGAAATTTCCAAGTTGCAATATCATACGCCCCGAATGATTTTGAGTCCACTAAGCCAAGATTGATTGGTATGCTGCGTCAGCCCATTAGATATGTAATAAATAGAATGGGCAAAAAAAACAAATATATAACTAATGTGTTTTTCCCAGCTTACCAGATAAAATTGCCTCATTTAAGACGGTCCTCTCCTCACTCTCTTTGTCTGCCTTTTGAACCTTTCTTGCAGCCAATTGGATCCTTTAAGCTCTGCTTCTTGCCTCTGCCTACAAACAACATATGCTTTTCATTAGGAAAACAAAATGAACAGCTGAAAATAACAAAATTTGAACGAATCTCCACCCAACTTAAAATTGCAAATCTAAGACCCAAATAGAAAGCATCTCAGAAACCCCAATTCGATTTCATTAGTTTGTAAACGCCTGTTCAAGCAAAAGAGGGGAAAAAAAAAAGATTTCTTTCATAACCTAATTCCAAAGAATGACTAGATATAACACAATCAACCGTAACAAGTGTTCAAATTGCAGACTAACATTGCAGAAAAACTGAAAAACTGGAAAAGAACCTGGTCAGGGATTGAATTGAGGTGGGCAAAGAGTGCGGGAGAAAGTCGAAGGACTATATCCACTGCTGCTGCCTTCTCCTACGGATTTGAGAGAAATCTTTATCGTCGTCTTCCATTGATCCATCTTTCTCTTTAATCTTTCTATTGACATTAATTGATTCCAGAGATGAGTAATGAAAATTCCTAATGGTTTTACATTTGGTTTATTTTTGTGACAAATTTTTTTAGTGTAGAAAATGGTTAGAGAAAATGGGCTTCTTGTCATTAACAAAACCCACACGATATCAGAAAGAGAACGACTTGTGCTATCCACGGAGCAACCACCGCATGTGGCCAACCACGTTCTGGTCATTATATAATTTATTAATTATCTATTCGAATAATTCTATTTTATCCATAATATGGACTCATTTTCCTTTCTCGTCTGCTACAAAATTGTAATTCTATTTTCTTTTTTAAAACATAAATTTATTATCTAACTTTCTTAACATATCTCTATTTAATATATATCCACATTTTCGAATTGATGTCCATGTTTAATATCTTAAAGGGATACATTTTGAAAAACCACTAAACAAAAATATTAATTCAACTCATATTAATTAGTTCATTATTAATTTGTGTAAGTCAAAATTAGGCTATATATTGGCGGAAAAGAGTATATATCTTTCCGTCTATTTTTCTTTTCACCATACATCGTTTTAAGAATAATTATTGTTATTTTTTTTTGGAGGATAAATAATTATTGCTTATTTTTTGTTATTGAGTAATTGTAAAAGGTGTAATTAATAGGAATCGGTTGTTACATCTTTTTCTCTTTGCATTCATCGTGTTTTTCATATATCAAATCTCTAAATTGTGATGAAATATCAATATAATTATACGAAATCAAACCCATATATAAATAGTGTTTTTTAAATAATAAAATAAGTAATTAATTTCAACAAAAATGAAGAATAAACTGAATCCCTATATATAGATATAGAAGACTGCAAAGGAAAGAAATTAGGAAAAATTATTTAAGCGTCGAAATAAAAAGTTTCTTAAACTTTGGGCAAAATATAATTTTTTAAGTTTTCCTAGATATCATAAAGTGTAATTTTATTTTAATAAGATTAAAAAAAAAAAAAAAATTCTTGGTAGTGCAATGAACCTTTATACTTAGGCAATTGTTGAGTAAATTGGAAATTTGATGGTTATTGTTTGAGTTAAAGTTGGGAATTGAGGTTTATATTTAGATTTTGAGTTATAAGTAAAGTCTAATGTTTTATTGATGTCTTCACAAATTTTGTTAATTGGGAAGTCTAATCAAGGCAAAAACAAGCATTCAATACATATAAAGCTACGCATCGATTGGGCTTTTCAACTTATTCATTTAAAGTACTAATCTGTACATTGGGTTAGTGATTTTCTTTCACTAATTTAACCCATCAAATGCGAAATTCCTGTAGATTAAACTATCTTATTCTACAGTACTTAATTATATTTGAAATTTTTACGTTTTTTAAGAAAAATATTAACTTTGTCTAAGTTTATAATAAATTTATTTAGTAATTGAACCTATATACCCTTAATTTGATGTTAATTTCTAAGAAACCTATTAAATTGAAAATAAATATTATTAGTCATGTACAAAGGGTAACATAAAAAAAAAAATTATTACTTTTTGAAAAAACCACAAATGTAATAAAATATTTTGAAAACAAATAACTTTCTTCAAATGTGACAAGCTTTATGGAACGAAAGGTAAACTTTTATCAAAAAAAATTAAACCAATTTAATAAAAATTCTTAAGTTAAATTGAAAATATTTTGTAATAAATATAAAAAAATTCAAATTAGAGTTTCCTTGAGAAATTTGCTTTTCACAGTTGCAAAACTCGAAATATTGGTTCTGATTTAAAAAAATGAAGAACTGAAATGAATTTTAAATACAACTATTTATTATGGTTTCAAAATAGGAAAAACCATATAATATGCGTTTTAAATGCTGGTTTTTGACCGAATTTAATTTCGATTCGGTTTTAATTTGAAACCGAACCGTGTTCGTGGCTACAACCATACGCACATTAAGACACAGCAGTTATGTTATTTCTCAGCCTACATTGTTTGGTTTCTATAAAATTGCAGGGCGATTTTTCCGTAACGACAACGCCTCTTAGGAATAACAAAACCAAACGACAACTCTTCCCGAACCACAACCAGCCTTGGCTTTTGGCCTGAGGGGGGAGAAAGAGAAGGTGAAGAAAGAATGAAGATAGTAACGTACAGTGAAATGGCCTAAGTACAACGCCATCGCCCAGTTTGGCTTCTTGTCAAATTTGCTCAATTCTTTCGATGCCGATTCATTTGCTTTCAGGTAATTACCTCTCTTATATTTCCATTCCCTAATATCCGGTCCTTTATGCCCTCGGGTCTGTCAAAATTCAAGCGAATTTTGTTAACTCTTCTTATTTTTATTTTTGATCGATCCTAACAGGAAACAAAATTGAGAAGACAGGAGCTTCTTCGGAATTTAGCCATAGGGCAAGAATGGTATGAAATCTTTCTTCTCTTGCACTCGTACCAATGACAAAGGCCGAACTGGCTATTCAGGTAACCTGTTGTTAAATTGCCTTCAAGAGAAAGAAAGAACTTTCTGCTTTCCTCTCCTAATTATTTGTTCTTTCCTTTTTTTGTAGGTGTTTGCTACTTTGCCGTGGGTAAAGTCTGCATTTTTAATAAGTACTCTGAAGTTGCATTGCCAGTTGCAGCAGAGGAAGGCTTCTTACTGGTCTTGTGGATAGTTCTAGAAATGGGAAAGAATGAAATGCCAGAAGTAGTTAGGTCTTGAGGACTTTGACAAAGATGAGCTTCTTAAGGTTGATGGCGAGGGCCGGTGTATTATAAGCTGATCACGTTCATTTTGGTATTCGCTGCTTTTTTATTTTTTTGTTGAAAAGTTTTTGGGATTTTTAATGAGGAATATTTTCTGTGGGGGTAATGGTTTTTGCACATTTTGCCAAGTTCTCTTCAATTTGGTCTTGGTCCTCGAGCACCCGAGAGTGATGATACCGATAGGGATACAGTTTTAAGCTCTTGTTTATTTAAGATACTTTCAGGTATCTGTTTTTTGTTTCTCCTTAGCCTGGGGATTATGAGTCATGTGCCTGAGAAAGTTCATTTCTTCCTTTTTTTTCTTGTAGAAAAGATGGGAGAGTCTTTTTGCACAAGGGAAGGAGGATATTAAATTGTTGGTGATTATCAATATTGCTCTACTTCCAATGGATCGTTGTATGGCAGGTCCTATTTTGGAGAAAAATGAGTAAGCTGTGGACCTGCTTTTCTTCCCGAAGCTTGTATCCTAATTATATTGTGCCATGACCTATGTGGACTTGTCTTATACTGTTAGTTGTTTATCCTATAATTTTTATAAGGTTCAGAACAGATGGTTTAAGATCTATGCTAGTTGAGTCTGGAGGCCACTTTTTTGATGTTTTCAGAAGCAAAAACATCCAGACAGGTTTCAAAATTTATGCTTACATGCATTTATGTAATGTGCTGATTGATGAGTGGATTATTTTGTTTTGTCATGGAATTGTTCAAAAATCAAGATTCGAGTAAAAAAGAGATAATGAATTCTAATCTTTCAGTGGCACTTTGATGACAAAGAATTCTGTTGTTTTGGCTGTCATTTTTTTTTTTATCTTTCTATTGCACATTTTCTCAATTTGCGTGTGAACCTACTCTGTTAGTAAAGTTTTCTCTGAATTTTTTGAAATGATGCCCATGAGTAAAAATATTTCAATCTTCAAAGTCTTTAACAATAATCACTGAACTTTCTATTTCTGGAGGATTTTTGCATTGAAACTAGTTCTTTTTCTGCCTAAATTATTCTACAGGAGAGACGCGTACACATGCTGGCCATCAATACTGGTGCTGAAACAATTTAATTTATGGACTAGAATTGACCAACATTTCTTTGTGCTGGGTTGTGCCTTGCACCAAGAGCATAATCTGCAAGCGTTCACTAAACTTTGTAATTGCCATGTCAAATGAGTGCGACTCTTGACAGAGTATAAACGATGGAAACCTGAAATAGCCTGAGGTAAATTTGATCCAACTACAGTAAATAAGCAGAATAATGATGTAACACTTCAATAGTTCTCTTTAGTGTGCGATTATAATATTATTGAAGATTTCTTCAACTTGTATGCTTTTTCATGCACTCATATCTTGCCTACATGCCTGCATTTTTTTGCATGCTCAATTTTCATGAATAATCTGCAATCAAATTATATAGGAAGCTTCTCTTCTGCATTTCTGTGCAAATCAATATATTTTTCTGCTACATTTTCCCCTAACACAGGTGGAAGGGAGGGTGGGGTATTAAGTTGGAAGGTTCAGATCATGCTCCAGTTTATAACCATTTGGTTAGGAATCCCTGATGTTCCCTCAACATGGCACTCCATCTCTGTCTTCTAGATATCTCGCCCATGATTCATGTCTCCAAGAACGCTTGGTGTGAGAAAATTTTTGTTGCTCTTTAATGTTTCCTTACTATAATGCCACTTATTTCCATTTCATCTATTTGTAGCATTAAGTCTCAATCTTGGTGCAGTATCTGTTCTGATGAAAGACAAGCGGCTACACAAGTTCAAATCCTGTAGTATATCCAATGTTCATCTTCAGAGGGAAACGTCACTGTAAAGAAATGCAGTAAGAACTTGAATTGCATCATTCAATAGCAGTCGATATATCTGGCCTCCCCCCAAGTGACTCTTGCTCTCTGAATGCAAACAACCGAAGTGCTATTCCTGATAACAGGTGAAAGCATCTCCCAAGGATATTCACGATCAGAGTTGTCGTAACATTAACCTATGCAGTGGACATAATAAATTCGATTTCCTGTTGCATAACAAAGAAAAAAGCAAGGAAAGTCAATGGTCCCACTCGTCTCTGAGGTCGTTTTTCCCAGAAAAAGTTTAGACTCTTAAGCAATGAGCTGAAACTCTTCAATAGCTTATTTCAGTTAGTCAGGGGAGACGCGACTAATCTAATAATCACCAAAATGACACTGGCTGGCAAAGGATGGTGAATTCCAGCTGTCCAAGCAGATAACTGAACTCAGGTTAGAGGCTCAGAGGATCAAAATGAGGTAATTGATGGTCTGCGAGAAAGAGAAAAACACATATCTGCCTTTACTGGAGTGGAAAGAATTCAGCAACTCATGCAAATAAGCTATACCTCTTTGGCAAAGGCCAAAGGAACCATGTTGTTGCTCGGATAGTGAAGAAACCAGGTTCTACATTTGGCTGCAGATTTTAATGTCTGTGCTCGAGCTGAGGTATTTCTAACATATTTTTTGCATATATCAACTCAGTAAGTTATTGAAATCCAAATTTCAGAAGATTGAGCTAGGCTGGTGTTACATAGATTACATAGGTAGGCTTATTTGGTCAATGAGAAATAGTTCTGCTGTTGGCTGAATATCTAAATGACAGTTGAGTCCCAACAATTCGCAAATAGTAATGCATTTTCCTATTTAGGTTAATCGATCAGCTGCATTGATATTCTCATGCGTGCATGGCAATACCAGTAGTCGAGCATTAATAACTTCCTTTCTTGTTATTTTATTCTTGTAAGGGGACCTTCATTAACTCCGCCAAGCAAACAACCTGTGGTTACTTTTAAATGGCCTTCTTCAAAATCCGGCAGAACATGCATCGCACGATTGTTTTCTGGCTTTAATAACTGCTAAATGCTCAAGGTACAATTTTTTTCGTAGCAATTTTGGTCTGTCTTAATCTTCTTTGTCTTTACTGCCTCTCTTTCTGAAAGCGCTCTCTCTCAATTCTCGCAGTTTTTTGGAATATTTTCTAGGTTGTAAATACTTATTCTGCAAGTTTGTGAGCCTCTCTTTGCGCCTGCATCTTGCTTCTCCTGAAGACTCTTGCACCACCAATGCTCCGATTAGAGTCACCTCAGTGTCTCATCCAGCAGCCTAAATCTTCATGCACCAACAAATCTTTTTCAATGAAACAAGTAAATATAATCTTAAAAATAGATATTCATGATAATCTATCAAGACAAATGATAAATATATAGAAAAAATAGATAGCAATGGTACAGCACCAAACCTGCACAATCTTGCACTTATTTCCTCTTCTAAAATAGGAGTCACCCTTCTCTTGCTGCTAGGAGCCACATTGTGATCTGATCTTGCATGGCAAAACCTAGCTTCACCTAGATCTCTACCTTTTTCCAAGACTTACCACAATATGAGCTTCCACCACTTATGCCATATAACAGGCAATCACATTTTTTTTATCCACAAAAGTTGTTAGAAATGAGTGAAATAAAACCTTAATAAAAAAAAATATAATACATATATATATATATATAATAGAAAGACATACGTTTCATTATAGAGATATGATATAGATATATAAAGTTACAGGAATAACATACTTGCTCATATTGAGAATCAATGATAACATTCTAATCACAATAGTCTTAGTTATATTTTCTCTAATTACCACGATTTAAACATAACCACTCTGAATCCATTCCCACAATTAAGGTTACTTGTTGCATTCCTAAACCGCAAAAGTACAAAAATACTGCCATAAACTGGCCCAATCCAGCATGGAAGAAGCAGCGGACTAATACAATCGCTCAGACTGACAAAGAGATCCATAGAACATATCACCCTATGTTCTGTTGCTCTTGCAGCTGTGTTGACATATTCCGCACACTGGAGAAGCACGGACCTTTCCTTATGTTCATTACACAAGTAATACATTACTCTCCGATACTCTGCGACCCAGGTTCTGCGCCAGCATCCACACACCGCCACTCTCTTACGTCTTCTCTACTCTGCCACGAAAAAACCTCCAGCAACTACACACACCACAGCGTATCATGGATTGAAGACAAGTATTAGCCAAATCTACAATTCAAGAAATAAATTGGTGGGTTTTACTTCTCTCCATCATATTATCTAATATATAATATCGGAAATTAAATCATAATCATAATATTGAAGAAATCTATTGAAACGAAAAATATCCATTGATAAAAGCTAACTACAGCGTTCAACCAAAGAAATAGTAGGAAAAACTCCAAAACCGGACTAACACTCAAGCCATTAGGCTTTCCCCTTACACTCATTTGAACCTAACTCTGGAACTGCAGAGAAAAACCCAGGCTTTTTCCCCCAAAATGGTGTTTTGCAATAAACTATTTATTTCAAAAATGGTGTTCTGTGAAAAATATTTACTAACGAATGGTGTTTAACTCAGAATGGGTGTTTTGTTGACATTTCAAAAGCTTTATTATTTAAAGCTGTCGAACAAAACTTTATAGAAATAATGTTTATCTCTGCTCTCTTCTTGTTGAATGTTACACTATAAGTGGAAAACAATACAACAGCTTTTAAATGGACCAAAAATTCTCTCTTCTCTCTTCTTGTTGAATGTTTACACTATGTCACAATACTCAGACGGAATATATTTTTAGCCTAGATCCAATTTCGTTCAATAGTTACATTTTCCCTACACATCAGTTTCAATTGTTACATTTCTATATAGGTGAGATTCCAACACCACCGCATAAGCAAAAAAATTATTGCTTTGACTACCTGCAAAATATAATATATATAGTATATATAATATTAATTTGGTCATTGTTTAGTGTAACAATATGTCTTCTTGTTTACGTGTGAGATTTAACATACAATATTAATCTGTTTGACACGTGACATTGTTTCACTTATAATGTAACAAAGGAGAGAAGAGAGCAAATATTGGCAAATGTAACAGGGAGAAAACATTTAAATTAATTAAATTTATTGTTTTTGTTTTTTGTTGCACACTACCCATACCGGAACAAAAGACTTTTGAAATGTCTTAACAAACACAATTTTCTGGGTAAATTCTTGTCACAGAACAGTCCGCAAAACACCATTTTGGGAGCTCGAAAAAACCTCCACCTTACAAGAACAAACAAACAGGCCGGCAAAAGTTCTAATCACCATACAAATGAATAATCATCAATGTGAGGAGGTTGCACATATTGCTCTGGTGGCGTAAGACCAACAAATCCAGTAGTTATGTACGTCCTAGTTGGATCCAACAGTTTCTACTGCTTAATTGTTATGATCAGAGTTTGCAGATTCACAATCCTCACTAGGTTCTTTGTAACCCGGTGATAGAGTACTAATAGCATCGCCAAACCATAAATCAAACATCATCACTGGTGATAGAGTACTATATCATCCTAAACCAATACATGATCAACATTAATATTCAACCATGAAGCATTTTAA